CTATCATTCTTTGAGCACTTCCTTTCTAGAACAAAATGTTCATTTCCAGCTTACCTTGTATTTTCCGTGCCTAGCTCTAGAATCACCCATTTCTCCAAGGGGTCCTGCCCTGTTCCTTTATTGGAGAAGGAAGCCTTCCCTCTTTGTGGGCTGAGCTAGGGAATGTTATATATTCCCTACACATACACATATTGGCATCTACATTTACTTACACTGAAATCTATTATTTATTTAGTTCATTGTTTTTTTTTCCTTTCCCATATTTGTAACTTCATTCTCTGATAGCTTCCATTATCTTCAATATATTTATTTACTGGATCAATCCCACCTGTATGTCTGTAACCAATCTCTCACTGCCAGCACTGTCTACCCAGGTGATCTTTTCTTACCTTAGACTCCAGTACCCCTCCCTCTACAAATCTACACTCTTCTTACTCCCTTTTTGTTAAAATTATTTTTTTAAGATTTTTATTTTTTAGAGAGTAAGAGGGAGAGAAACATTCAGTTGCCTCTCACGCCCCTGCAACTGGGGACCTGGCTGTCAACCCAGGCATGTGCCCTGACTGGGAATTGAAACTGGGAATTGAACCTGCTACCTATCAGTTTGCAGGCCCATGCTCAATTCACTTAGCAACACCAGCCAGGACACCAAAAAAAATTTTTTTTAAGAAAAGCAACCTGTTGGACACCGAGATCAAAAACTGTCAAGACACTTTAGAGATAAGCTTTATTATGAACTGGGTATTTAATAACGATATTAAGCAATTATCATTCATTTTATTATTATTTTTTAAAGAATGTATCTATTTTTTAGAGGGGAAGGGAGAGAGAAAGAGAAGGAGAGAAGCATCAAACCACCACCTCCTGCATACACCCCAACTGAGGAATGGGCCAGCAACCCAGGCATGTGCCCCAGCTAGGAATCCAACCAGCAACACTTCACTCTGCAGTGTGACGCCCAACCAATTGAGCCACACAAGTCTACTGTTATGAACAGGCTATTGTTCATTTTAAACGTGATAAAGGCATCAAAGTAAACCAAAAAAAGTCCTTATCATTAAAGAGATACATGCTAGTTGATGGGTACAGAGGTATTATTATTCTATCCCTGTTTGAAATTTTCAAATAAAAAAACTCTAAATAAAAGAAAGGTCTGTAGATTACTAGACTTTATTGAAGATGCAATCACTGCTAGTTACATGGGAACTATTGCCTAAGCAAATCCATGAGGTTCGCATGAACTTACAGTTACACAAATAAGAAACAAATGACATGTTCAAAGCCACGAAGAAGTGTCCTGATGTCCCGGTGGTGCCCACAGGTAAATGAGTCTATACATTTATTTCAAGCTGTTAAAGAGTTTGTGGGCCACCTATGGAGGAAAGAAAAGAAGTCATTAATTGCTGGCTTTAATGCCAAGGCTTACAAGGTTCTTCATGACCTGGAACGGTATTACCCCCTCCTCTCACCACTCCTTCCTATGTACCCACACCCTTCTGGGCTGTAGTGAGTTCCCTGCAGTTACCTGAATTTCTTTCCTACCTGGAACTCTCTTTTCCAGTTTTTCATCTTTTTCCTTTAGAATTTAAAATGAAAACCTTCTCTAAACAAGCCCTATACCCACACAAATCTGTCCCTCTGTTTCTCCTACAGAAACATATACCCCCCATATCACAGTGCTTATTAATTCAACAAATATTTATACAACATCTATATGCCAGGGACTGTTCTAGGTGCTGAGTTACAACAGTAAACACAACAATATCTCTCTCTCTTATGGAACTTAGAGAATAACAGAAATATAATATACACGAGACAAAAAAAATTTTAATTTTTAGAGAGAGGGAAAGGGAAGGAGAAAAAAGGGAGAGAAACACCAATTAGTTCTATCTTGTACACCCCAATCCATATGCCTGCAACTCAGGTATATGCCCTGGCCAGGTACTGAACCAGCAACCTTTTGGTTTGTGGGATGATGCCCAACCCACTGAGCCATACCAGTCAGGGACCATAAGGTTACTTCTGATAGTGATAAATACTGAAGAAAATAAAATGGGGTAGAGGGAGCATAGCATCTTTAAATATGGGGGTCAGCCCTGACCTGTGTGGCTCGGTTGGGCATGGTCCCACAAAGTAAAAGGTCGCCAGTTCAATTCCCAGTCAGGGCACATGCCTGGGTTGTCAGTTTGGTCCCTAGTCAGGGTACAAGAGGCAACCAATCAATGTTTCTCTCCCTCTTTTTCTCCCTTCCTTTCCCTCTCTCTAAAAATACACACATAATATCTACAAATAAATAAGGGGGTCAGTGAAGGCTATCCTAAGAGTTAGACCCAAGAGACTTACCAGTTTACTAACTATTCTCTGGCTCATAACTCAGTGAAAGAAGGGACCATGCCTATCTTACTCTCAGATCTTAATCTAGTGCTTTGCTCATAAAAATATTTACATAACATAAAACTTAGCATTTTAACCAATTTTAACAATATGTTATTGTGGCATTAAGTACATTCATAATGTCCTGAAATCATTAATCTCTAGAATTTTCCCACATTCCTAAACTGAAACTCTGTACTCATTAAATAGTAATTCCCCCCAGCACTTGGCAACCACTGTTCTTTCTGTCTCTATGAATTTGACTACTGAAGGTAACTCATATAATTGGAATGGTAATAATTGTCCTTTTGTGATTGGTTTATTTCACTTAGTATGTCGAGGTTCATTCATGTGGTAACATCAGATTCCTTCCTTTTTTAAGGCCAAGTAATATCTCATTGTATGTACATATCGCACACCTGGGTTTTTGTGAATGCAGCTACAAACATGTATCTTCGTCAAATCCTTCAACAGTCTCAGTTCTTTTGGGTATATAACCAGAAGTGGAATTGCTGGCTCAATATGGTGATCTATGTTTAGAGTTTTGGGTAGAGCTTGATTTCTTTTTATTGCCAAATAATATTTCATTACATGCATGTATCAGTTCACAGACATTTATGTTGTTTCTACTTTTTAGCAATTATAATGTTTCTGTGAATATATGTGTACAGGTTTTTATGTAGACATGTTTCATTTGTCTTAGGTATATATATACCTAGGAGTAAAATCGCTGGATCATACAGTAACTCTACGTTTAACCTTTTGAAGAACCACCAGACTGTCTTGCACAGGCTGTACCAATTTACATTTTCATCATCAGAAATGTATGAGGTTTCCAATTTGTCCACATCGGCCCATACTTGTTACCTATCTTTTTTACTGGAGCCAATTTAGTGGATATGAAGTGGTATCTCATTGTGGTTTTGATTTGTATTTCCTTGATAGCTAATGGTTTTGAACATCTTTTCATATGCTTACACAATCAGTTTTAAGATAAGCAATCATATCAAACTTTGCCTTCCCTATAATTTAAAATACCTTAGTATTATACATAAGAGTCAAACACAAGTTTACTTAAAAGTACAAAATCCAGCTTCCTCACTGTTTAGCAGGACAAGTTGAGATATCTCGTCTCTTCTCTGAGGCTCAGGGGAGAGATAACGATACCTGCCTCCAGAGAAAGTGGTAGGATCAGGTAAGATTTTTCTTTCTTTCTTTTTAAGATTTTGTTTATTTATCTTTAGAGGGGAAGGGAAGGAGAGAGGGAGAAAAATATCAATGTATAGTTGCCTCTCGTGAGTCCCCTGCTGGGAACTGGCCTGCAATCCAGGCATGTGCCCTGAATGGGAACTGAACTGCGATCCTTTGGTTCACAGGCCTGTGATCAATCCACTGAGCTACACCAAACCAGCCAGGGCTAGGTAAGATTTCTTATGTAAAGTGCTCAGCACTACTACTGACATATATTAGTCCATAATAAACACTAGGATGGAAAGGTTCTCAGAACCAAGTCATCTCCGGCCACTGTAAGCTTTCCCCCTTCCTGACTTTAGGTTGACTTACACAGTGATCCCTTGCATGCAAGAAGTCAAAGAGCTCCTCCGTGCAATCCTCCTCTGTGTGTGACCTGGAGGATACACGCTCACCACAGAGCTCTAGCCGCTCCCGAGCCTTTACACATTTCTCCAACTGTTCGCACTGCTCTCTCACTGTTGTTAGGGGATCCTGATGGAGAAACAAAAAACCAAAATGGGGGTTTTAGGGGAAGCAATCCCCAAACCATATGCTCTGATTAATACAACCACCACACCAAGGTGCTGCCTCTGAATTACCGTGCAGAAGGCCAGCTGGCAGAGCCACACTGCCACCAGAAATGGCAGAATGGGGGTCTCCCATTCAATTCTGATGCTAAGTAGTAGGGAAAAGTTTCATATTCCTGCCTTCCAAGGTTGCCAGTATACACTGAAAGCCTCAGTCCTATCTGAAAAACAAGGTGGTAAAGGAAACCTGGCCAGACTTGAAGTAGATCTATAGGAGGCCTTACTTGTTAACAGAGCACTTTGGGACATATAATGTCTGTGAATTTCAATTTCCTTCATCTGACAGCAAGGCCTATACACCTCAGCTGCCCGGCTAGAAAGGCAATGTTAACACAGAGAACTATCCAAGAAGAGTTCCTTCCAGAATTATTTATTAAACCACCAACAGCAGATGACTAAGTGCCAGGTCCTCAAGATGGTGCTCTGCTCCCTGATACAACTAAAGCCCAAAACCGAGAAAAGACTCAGCTTCCCAGGCCCCCCCACCCCAAGTACTCCACTCTACCAGAAGGAACTATTAAAAGGCTTTTCCCACTCCTATTCTCTACAAGGTGTCTACCATAAGGACTCCTTAAAACAGCTTCAGACTTTCATAAAGCTCAAACTTCCTTTTACTGGGATGGTTCCAAACCCGAGACAGCTCTTACCACTAATTCCTCCTCCTCCGCTTCCTCCTACAAAAAGAAAACAAAATTAATGTCAGCAGCAATCTTATGATATATATATATATATATTCCCAATCATATTGATCTTGTAATTACTGAGGATAGACATTATATTAATCATGTTTTAAAACATCTGTATTTCACCCTCTGGTTCCCTTCCCCATTGGATCTGAATACCAGTCTTGGTCATAAGAGGAGGAAAGGTAATACTGAAGCTGGCCTCACAGCTCTGTGGCATGTGGGCTAGTTTCAAACAAGGTAAAAAAAAAAATTAAAAAAATTTTCCTGTATTTTATGATGCTTTGACATTTTAGGGGGCTTGCCAATCCTTCAAAGACTGCCCCTCTAGGGGCTGGCAAATTTTAGAGATAGTAAACAACTCATCTTTGGGGCACGCCTCCCATAAGCAAAACAACCAATCCAAAACGCTTATCACTAACCACTTCCTTTATCTAACTTTCCTACACTACACCAATTATTGTACCTGCCCAATCACTCCAGGGCCAAGTGACAAACAACAGAGGAACTACCCCCGTAGACCAGAGCCTACTGAAAAGATTCAAACCTAAAATTGCTAAAGCTTGCCTATCCTGCCTCACCCACTCCTTCCCTCAGAAACCAAAGGTCTGGTTTCCCTTGCTTCTTCTGTTCCTGGCTGGCCCAGGCATTTCTCTAGGTGGCCTTACCATACTTGGTTAAAACAAATCCTGGTTCATTTCAACAAGGACATACTATCTCACTTTCACTAGCAAAAACATAAAGCATGCACAACACTATAAAGTTTATGAAGTACTTTAATATCTATAATAATTTGATTAATCACTTATTAATCAAAGAGCCCCTGAGGGGCTCCCAATTGAGAGATAACACTAATTAGACTTTTTCTGATATTGATTCAAGCTGCCAGATGTTCATATAGAAACTATGTAATTTTCAAAAGTGTTTTGTTCTAAAGTCTGGTGGGTCCCATTATTACTAGAAATAGCTAAATTTAGTCCTTATATCATAAACCAAGTTAGGAGAAAAACTAACATTTTTTCCCCTAGATCTGAACTTGAATTGGGAATATGAAAATGGTCAACCTAATCTCTTCTTTAACCAGAGTCTAACTAAAGGTGGTTATAGCCAGTACTCTTTGGCTTGTGAAACTCCTAGGACTCTTAAGTAGACTATCAATATAAGGCATTTACATGTCTCTATTCACAAGCTTGGAAACACTAGGCCCTTTCTATTTATTTCTGATTCTGGTGCAGAATCTCAAACTTAGTTTTCTTTCTTCCGAGGGAAGCAGTGTAAAAACATATTCCCTGTGGGAACATCAGCAAAGTCCTAAATCTGGGGCGTAGCAGAGTCTATCTGATCAGTATTTCAACTTGTCATGCACGTGTCCACATTTGGAAGAAGGGAAAGAAAAGGTATAGGGGGAAATAAAAGAAATGGCTTAGTAATCCCTCTTTATGCTTTCAAAATTCCAACACAACCTGGCTCATTCTGTACCATGCCCTTCAGGGAAGAGATTAAAGCCCACAAAAGCTGGGGAGGGTAGAGCAGATTCAGCTGTGACCCGGGCTACTTATTCCTACAATTGGCAAAGGTCTCTTTTAAACATAACGGTGTTACTTAGGATGTAAAGTTCTAGTTTTTCATTAAACAAGGCTTCTTAACCATGCTCTTAAATATATATATATATATATATATATATATATATATATATATATATACTAAAAAAGTTATCAAAAAACAAAAAACAAATCACATTCTGCCTGGGTTACAAATCAGAAATTAGAGCTCCTAGGAGCAAGACCTTTATACCACTTTCCGATTAGCAATACTACTACATTAACCATTTTGTGTCTTTCATAATTTTTCATTAAAAGTATCATGGCTTATTTTGGAAAAACAAATCCAAACACAAGTCTGAATATGGACTACTTAATGTCAAATTTGCAGTCAATGAGAAAAGCCAATGTCATACTAAATAAAAAGGCTTAATCTCCAACAAGTATGGGTTCTTCATAAAAGAGTTCCATTTTCTTAATTTTAAAATTGACCACTTATTTACTTTCTTTTTCTCATCTACTGCTGTGGTGAGCCCTACTGAAAGTTCTGGTATACTCCCTGAACTTCCTAAGGCTGGTTCCATGTCTTCCTGGACCTCTCTCTGAAAGTAATACTAGGAAAAATTACGGGATAAACTAGTTTCCAACCATCCTGAACCCGTAAGTGCAAAATAGCTGCCCCGAAGTGACAAAGAACAGATAGGAAATGTGACTGGAAACAAAAGCTAGCTGGCTTCTGTAAATCTGTATAGCAGTGTGGCTGAGTCTGCCCTGGAACCATGCTGCTTGGGTCAGTTCCTGGCTCCATGGTTTATTAGCTGTGTGTCCTTAGAGAAGACATTTAACCTCTCTACACCTGTTTCCTCATCTGTAAAATGGCAATAATAGTCCCTAATACTTCAGAGGACTATTGTGTGGTTTAAACGAATTAGCACACATAAACTAACATTTGAAATAGTAAGCAGTCAGTAATTATCATTACATTGGCATTTTTACTCTAGGAAAGAGCTCTCTTTCATCACAGAATTATACTGCACATCCCTACACTGTCCCCAAAGATAGCGCCCCCAAGCCCCCACAAAAAAAAAAAAAAACCACTTCACAGAAACTAGTGTAAAGCCAGATCTCTGGAACCTCCACACATGTGGCAGGGATTCCTGCTCCCCTAATCTGTCAAATCAGGGACACATGACTGACTAAAAATACAGATACTATTTTTTTTAAGATTTTATTTATTTATCTTTTAGAGGGGAAGGGAAGGAGAGAGGGAGAGAAATATCAATGTATGGTTGCCTTTCCTGCGTCCCCTGCTGGGAACTGGCCTACAGGGAACCAGCCTGCAACCCCGGCATGTGCCCTGACTGGGACTCGAACCGCGAATATCTGGTTTGCAGGCCCGCGCTCAATCCACTGAGCTACACGAGCCAGGCAAATACTATTTTTACAAAAGCAGTCAACACATAATTTCCGCTCTCGTTAAACTTTCTCCATAGTCATAGAATGGGGAGATCGAGACCAGAGAAAGACTAGTTATCTACTCGCCCAAGGTCACTCGACAAGTGCTGGGGAAGGGTCAAAGGAGCCGGCTCCCCCGACCCTGAAAACTCTAGACCGGGAGAGCAGGGCCAAAGGGGCTTCGGGCGTGTTTTGCGGACTAGGTCCTGACCCTTGACATAGGGTTGAATCGATCGCCTTGTCTTACCTCCTTGGGATCTCCGGACCCGGTCAGCATCTTTCGCTCATCCTCCAGCCCCATGTCCCACTACGCTTCTAGATCCAAAATCAGCAGCAAAACCGGCACCTTTACCACTTCAAAATCAAGAAGGACTTTGTAAGGGTCACTCAGCGGATATCCGGCGATATGGCCGGAAGTGCGGCAGACCCGTCGTAGTCGCGAACACACTCTAGGATTGGCATGTACCACCACCAGTATGGAGGGGATAGGGGTATCTGGTATTTTGCTCCTGAAATGGGTTTATGAAGAAATGCCCATTTAGTCACGCTACCCCTCAATGTGTGGACCTTCATATTTATTTAAAATATCACCTTCTAAAGAACTTTGAAAATATGCAGATTTATTCGCTGTTCCTTTAACACAGTTCCCATTCTTCCCCACATCGCTGATGAAACCGTCCTAACTGCTGACCTTTTCAAGATGGCGGTCCGAGGCTGCCGCTCTCGGGCTTGCGCACCTCCCCAAGATGGCGGCGCCCGAGGCCTGGCGCGCCCGGAGTTGCTGGTTCTGTGAGGTAGCGGCGGCAACGACCATGGAGGCCACGTCCCGGGAGGCGGCGCCAGCGAAGAGCTCGGCCTCGGGCCCCAGCGCTCCCCCCGCCCTGTTCGAGCTGTGCGGGCGGGCGGTGAGCGCCCATATGGGGGTTCTGGAGAGCGGGGTGTGGGGTAAGTCGCGGGGTGAGGGGCTACCTCTGGCAACGAGCGGAGGCGGCCCTGCGGCCGGGGGGCACGGGGGGCGAGGCCAGGAGGCCCGGGGCAAGGCCCAGCCCGGAGCACGGGGAGGCAGTCAGTCTGGCCGGAGAATGAATTCCGTGCCTAACCGGGCTGGGCAGAGTAAAGACGGGAACCAAATCGGCAGGTGGACCTGCACCGCGCGGCCCGGCCGGGGGCGCGGGGGGCGAGGCCAGGAGGCCCGGGCTAGGGCAAAGCCGGCAGGGCTCGGACGGCAGGGGCAGGACTGACGGGCTGGGCCGTGGGCACCGAACTGACACTCGGGCCGGACCGGGCTGGGGAGCCTCGGATGTCGAGCCGACGGGCAGGGATGGCCCTGCTGTTTGGGGGCGGGGGCCGAGGTTGGGAGGCCCGGCCTAAGGCAAAGAGGCCAGGCCCGGGGCCACCCAACCCGACTGACGGCGCGGAGCCTCTGATAAATGCCTGACAGACACCGAGACCCCGGAGGCCAAGACCCCGGAGGCCAAGCCGATGAGAGAGTGTAGCTCACTGGATTGGGGAGCGAGGGATGGGTCAGAGGGAGAGGCCGAAAGGCTGCGGGTGCCGAGGCCTGTGTGATGGCCCAGGGCAGAAGGGAGCGAACTGACTAGCGGGTCCTCGGGTGCCGAGCTGGTTGAGCGACGGACTGACGGGCAAGGCAGGGAGCGCCGGAGGCTACTCGTATTGGCCCGAGCGGCGAGGAAGGACCCGAACTCGGGAGAAAGGAGGCCCGAATGACGGACAGGCGGGAAGGGCCAAGGAGGCCCCAGGCGGGGCCACGGCCCGGGATCCTGGACTGGGGGTGGGGGGCGCACTGCCACCAGAAGGCCCTGGTCAGAGTGGGAGCGAAAGGAGGCCCCAGGCCTGAGAGCGGCGGAGACCCACGGGCCCGGCTCTGGTGGAGAGCGCCCAGGCTGAGCCGCGAAGGCGGGCAGCCTGGGGCGCTGGGATGAGGAGCCGGGGAGGACGACGTGAACAGCTTTGCCGGTGGGCCTGCGAGCTCGGCAGGCCGGGCTGGGCCGGGTCACGGAGGAGAGTAGGCCTGCAACCCGATGGGCGCGAGGAGGCCGGGCTGTGGGGTGTGTACCCTCGGTCGCAGCCCGGCCGCTGGTGAGAAAAACTCGGGTCGGCGTCTTGGCAACTAATAGAGTGAAAGAGGGGAAAGTAAGGGCCTCTGGGGGATAGGCTTGTCTACACGGGGGACAAGGGAGGCCTTGGGCCTGCAGTGCCTGACAGACCGGTGGTGTGAGGGGGT